AAATGTAACTTAAACAAACCTAACAATGCCTTTCAACTGGCACAACACAAAAAAACCCTCGCCATGAGAAAGAAATGCGATGAGCAAATTCATAAAGAGCTACCTGATAGCAATTATTCTAACTAACCTACATCAACAACAAATGAACTTGTTGCCTTTTAAATAGCACCACCAAATCGCGCTTCTTTCGGTCGTTTATACTGGCGTTCATGTAGAACTTTCTTCTCCGACTGGAACATTCTTACTCTGTTGGAGAGATCTAGTTCAAATTCTGCTTTCTCGCCATGACGACAATACAGCTCGAAATCGGGAGAGATCATCCGTCTGATGTCGTAAACAATGTCCGGAGTTGGAGAAGCGAATTCTCTGGAAAAATCATCATTCACGTCAACCGAGAGTGGCGGCGATCTGAACTAATCGCTTCGCACTTACAGGCTCGAGCTTTACAGCCGTCATCCGGGCACTTGATTAGGGCGGCAAGGGTCGCGACGCGGCTGCGGCGTGTCACGAGCGCGGCGATCAGCTGTTTCCAGCCTATTTAGCCATTCTCCCTAATTTACACTGTTTTGGCTGCTTTTCTCAAGATTAGTTGTTCCTTGTCTTCACAAGGTAAATTATGATTGAGATTTCTGTTTTTGCGCACAATTAAACAGTTAGGCAGACAATTGAACAAACACCTGAAAAAATCGCAAAAACACTCTATTACAGAAACAAAAAAAAGACTCCACGCCCTAATGTACTTCATAAAGACAATAAACAACTGTCCTTAGGAAATAGAAAATATCGATAAAACTTATATCATAATATAACATATTAATATCTAATCCTTTTCGCCAATTCTTCATTTCTTCACTGTCGCGAGGTATGAACGCAGCATAAGTGGCGGCTTTCGTTTCAGAGAATGTTAGCTATTCGTATCAAAATAACAATTAACAAATTAGTATACGAAACCGCCGAAACGTCCGCCGATAAACGTTCATAACAACCTCGTCTATGCAGTTTTAAACAAACGTTATAATAACAAATTAGTGTCTGCTAGCCTCACACAGCCTCCCGAACATGGTAAACCAAGAGCGATGTGACGGAAAGGAGCCAGAATGATGGGGCGTGTCATTCAGGATGAGTTCAGCGCGGCGCCTGTTCTTCACCAGTTGTTGGGGTGCGAAAGCGACAGTATTTGTGGAGAACGACTGACACGAAGGATATGATATAGTTTTGGGCTTGCTCGCTTTGCCAAGTGGTGCAAAGCGAGTCTGGCGCAGCGCCAACATCATCACGCCGAGCACGCCCCTTTATCCGCAGCTAACAAGACTGTAAGTTAAGTGTCAGGACACGCCGTGACGCATGACAGGTTGTGTATCCCAGGACGAGTCAAACAAGTAAGGAAATCGTCATTGACTCGTCCTGGTCTACCCATTCCACAACTTATTTTTCATTTTTATGTCGAACAGCTTTCAGTGCTGAGGTTATGAAGATTTTTGCCAAACTCAAAGTGGAAAGGACAATGCGGGTGATAAGAATGGGGAATAGATGTGGGCGAACACTGTTCTTTTAAAAAAAAGAGCCACTTTATCTCGTAGACAATCGTGAACGGACTCGCTCTAGAGCTTCATTTTTCCTCTCTTTTCAGTAGTATACTGAACCGTGGACCAGCATTGGATTAGCCTATAACCAATTTCCCCGGCCTAGACGATGAAATCAAAACAGTTGCCAATTCTGACATAATTTCAAAATGGGCAACCAATCAAAGTAGCTGCTAAAGAAAAGGACCTAGAAACCACTAATGAGACCCACTTTGGATATCACTAACCATGAGATCAAAAACCCAGTAGGAAATGGTTGCTCGAGAAGCTCAGTTATCGAAGGACAAAACGTAAAAAGGCTCTTAAACTTCTCAGAAATTGTGAACATCTTATCCATTGAACTGAAAAGGGATTAAATGGAAAACACTCACACAAGAAAAACTGCAAGTCCTACGTGAAACAGGAAATTTGCACCAGACACTCTGCAGAATTCTCGGAATGCTTCCCTCTGGTTCTTGAAAAATACTCGGTCTCGATTAGGCAGAAACTTCCATGACGATAATAATCGCACAAACGTTCGCATACCATAAAACCTAAAACCTTCCCTGGAATAGACCAAAAATTTGTTCAAATATTCGTGTTCAACTCACCAGAAAATCTCTATCGAAGATCTCACAAGAAAGAAATTAAAAATTAAAGCTTCAAAAACCCTGGCAACATGCCGAATGCCGTGATCAATGCGTGGCGGTCGCAGTCGCGACCGACACTTTCTTTTTAAATAGCTCACGGCTAAAGAGGCAGAAGAACCGACTGGACCGCTTTACTATGGGGTTCTGTGAGCTTTGTAATAGCGAATATCCAGATGGTGGAGAGTCTAAGTCAATCCACGAGGTACGTTGATTTATGGGATATGTTGTGGCTTCCTTAGATTCATCCCCGAAACCTGGAAAATAAAGCTTCATTTAAACGTTTTAGTCCGGAAGGCGACACAAGAGATCATTGGAACGTCAGGCCCAGGCTGCTGAGCTTCCTAAGAAGTCCGTGTTTGTTGCATTGACGTTCAAACGTGGTGCTGGTGATGAGGTACTTGATCCCAAGGTCATCGCTTCCGCTTTCAGCGCTGTAAGTTAATGATCCTTTTACTTTTTGCAATTCCGTGTATTTTTTTCGCCTTTTTTTCGTGATATTCAAAGTAGGCGACCCATCAGTCACTACCGATGCCTCCTTTGGAGGCGTGATTCTGTAGGCTATCAAGGGCATTAGTTTTGTTTACCCTTGGCAATTGTTTCCAGGTGTTGGTGCCCCCCCTTATGCCGAACAGCGCTTTCGAGCTATGCTGACGAGTGAAAATTCGGAAAGGAAGTTGAGGATGATCAAGAGTGAAAAACGGAACGGCACCGTCGGTCGGGATTTTGGGCAGACGGTGAGATGGGCCAGTGAAGCGAGGAACATTCCGTTGACATCCATGGGTAATGCCAACCAATTCGCTGGACAGCCAGACACCCCTCCCTCAAACTTTGCTGCCCACATACACCACTACGGGAGGTGGAGGATATAGCGGTATCTGGCTTGCTAGCGCCAAAACTAGGTGAAGGTACTGCGAACCTGCGGTTTGGGCTGATGGCCAATCGGTCATGGGAGTTATGCATTTGATCAAGGTTCGGAACGCTATTAGTAGCGACTCGTGAGTGCTTTTTGACAGATGTGATAGGTAAAGGTGATATGGTAGCAGGGCCACTGCTTACCACGCCTCTGGTCGGGGTCAAATGGCGGCTCTCCAAGGTCTACGGACAGCTAAAACTCAATCCCTTTAATGGCGCCAACTTTCTTCTTTTCTCTGCGCTCTCTTGCCTGGATGGCGATTTATGGCCACTTTGACCTTTCACATTCCAACTTTTCACGCATATTAAGTGGCTCATCCACCCCGATATCCTCCTTCAAAAAAAAAAAAACAACTATCTCCTGGTCTCGCAATGTGTTTATTGCACCTCAACGATGCCTTGTCAGTGGTTAGTCTCCTATTGCCTGCTCTGCTGGCCTAATCGTGGCAGACCCCCACCAAAAGTTTTACTTGTCACGTAACCCTCTCTCAAGCAGAAGATACCTTGGAACTCTCCGAGGCCGGTATGTTGGTGCCGAGCTAAGAGATGGTCCTGTACGAGATGATCAGAACATTGACTTGAACAACGACTGACTTCTTATTATGCTTTGTTTCACTTTGTTCCACGCCCCTCTTTTTTTTATTTAGTTCGGTGAAGTCACTCACGTCTCTTGCGGCTTTCTTCAAGACCACGCGTTTGTGGAATTCGACGGTGAAGATGCCGTTGAACGAGCGAAGGCAGCGAAATCCATAAAAATAAACGAAGTGAGTCCTTGTAGCTTGGTCATTCTCGACCTCCATCCTTTACAACACTCTTTTAGTCATTGACTGGCATCATTTATGAACGACGTGTGACGTTTCACGATGAGCATGATGGTCCCACAGTGGACCTGGATGAGGTAATTGATTTTCAATAACTTCGAGCAGGAAGCTCCAAAAAATTGCATTTGTTCGCTTGTAATTTGACGTTTTCTTTAACTGAGTAAACCACCTGATTCCTGAATCGCTGTGTTTGTCGTTATATGGGCTCTTAGGCGGCGTTCATACTTTGCGTCAGCGTCCACCAGCGTTTCAGCGTGCGCCACCGCCAGCGACTAGGAAAGTGTAGATATCGATCTAAGCAATGCCAGCGTCCACCAGCGTGCAGCAGCGTTCCGCGGGCAGTTTTACTCAAGTTCAAAAGCGCCCGTGAAAAGCTTCTGTACGATGGTGGACGCTGACGGACACTAGGTTTATACCTATACTTCCCTAGTCCAGAGACGTTGACGGGAGCGTGTAGACGCTGTTCGCTAGATCGATATCCATATTTTCCTAGTCACCGGTGGATGCTGGTAGACGCTGACGCAAAGTATGAAGGCAGCCTTATACCGGTGGATAAGAAAGTTGCAGCGATGGTATTAGAGATTCTATCCTCGTTTTGCTATGCAAGCACTAAGCACTCTGCATAGTAATGCTTCATAACAGTCACACTCGTAGACACTGCCTTGGCAGAGTCAAAAATGGCGCTGCATTCTTTAGTTAACGATAGCTTTGCAACAAGGCTCAAAAGGATAGATTTTCAGAACACGGGATGAGCGAGGTTAGCTGGTGGGTTAGGTGGAGCTGTAATTAAAGTTCTGGTAGATTTTGTCGAGTCCTTTTTTATGAACAGCTTACCATTACCTTCACTTTCAGGTTATCCAGCACGTCAACGATTTATGTTGTCGTGGCTTCTTAGCACAACTGGACAGAATCTCTTCCTGCATCGGGGTAACTGAGAAAGAGGTATGTATGAAAACTTGAGGTGTTTTCCGAGCTGTTTTGGCCACTTCAAGACGTTTTCAGGTGGTAGTTGTTAACGGTTCTCTTCCTCGATCTTAAGCATTAGCAGCAGAGAATCGATTATCCGTGAATCTCGTTCCTTACAGATTTTTCTTCATTCAAGTGAATTCGAGGGCTCATTTGCGCACTTTTATTGGTCAGCTTTCGCTATGTACTCAGCGGGAGATTTGGCGTAGTAACTGAGACGAACAGCTCTCGAGCGGGCTAGCAGTCGTTATTTCTGCATCCTCTCCCTATGACATATTGTAAAATGATTTTGTCTAAGTCGGAGCATGTCACCCTCTCTCCTAGACAGCAGTAACGTGACCTGCATGAACCTCGCTGGAGAGTGGCTCTCCGAGGCACATAGCGCTGAAGGTTTCACCGATAGCTGAGCCGTCTAAGCCTCTGGGCAAGATGACCTAGCCGAAACGTCAGGCTCTCCTAAACGGTTCGCCGAAAGACATCGTTTTCACCCACGACGGGCACTGTTCGGCTCAAAAGAGGGTGCATTCTTCTCTTTCTTTTCCGCAGTGTTCTCTGCTAGTTCTTGTAAAATACACATCTCTCCTTGGTAAGACCTGCAGGCCATTGGCAAGTATAAGGCTATGATTGATGGGAGCCAGCGAAATGCCCCCACCAAGTCGAACTGCACCCACAGAATATACTAAAACGTTTTCAGCAGTTTTTCAGTGTTCACTTTGATATATTTCGTGAGAGAATGGTCTTTGTAGATGCTACGCCGGAACACGTTCCGCAAACGATTCGAAGAGCTGCTGTGTCGATATGTACAAGATCCAAACGTCGTCCAATTTGGATCGGCTGTAACAGGTCTAGGAACGAATGATTCAGATATAGTAAGGGTTTATCAATGCTTTATCGGGATTTGATATATTTCTTTATTTGTTTACAGGACCTGTGCCTCCTTTTCAAGGACGACACCACTTCACCCATGAACGAATTCGTACGTGATGGAAATACCCTACTATCTTGTCCTCCAGAACATTTTCAAGAGAATCCTATACATCGGGATGAGTTGAACGCTTTATCGCTACGAGGTAAGGGAAAAGGTGTTCGCCTTTGATTAGACGCGTTCACTTGTTCACACACATCAGGGATGCTGGACGTTGCTAGTTTCGGCCACCTCAAAAATGCGAGAGGAATAGCGGCGCCCCGGTCTGCTCGTTGTAAGAGATCGCGCATCCCGCTCACGCTGGCGACCACTACGCCCAACTTGTTCTCTTCTTAATGGTTGCTTGATCGGTGGGGGCGGTTGTTCTTCAGCCAACTCTCTTCCACGTCCGAATGGTAAAGAAGTGAGCGTGATAAGGGATCACAGCTGATACCAACAAGTGAGAACTCGTGCGGCCGCGCCTTCTCTTCGCCTTGAGCACAACAACCTCAGCTCGGCGTGGGGTCCTATATAAGGCATATCCGATGATTTTTTTGCATTTTCTTCACTAATGAACTACTTGCTACCTTGTTGTAATTGTCTGAGCCCCATAACTGATCAAAATTGAACGCGGGCGCTGCCTTTAATTCAATATGAAGGCCATGAAGTGCGCTAAATAGTTCCTTCGTTATGGTGACTCTTTGAGGAAACACACAAGGTAGTGCGCTAACAATGCTGGCTTGCGCTTAGGCAAGCTCCAGAAACACTGCATGCTCGGCGAGCGCGCCTTTAGTGGTTGTGAATCTTATTTCCGTTGGCTCCAGACACTCGGCGAAGCCGCCTTAGTGTTGTGGATATATTTCGTTGGGGAAGTTGGCGAGTCGTGCAAGCAGTACGCTGGGTTAGTCAGCGCACCCATGAAAACCGTCAGATACGTATTGGGAGACTCGGATAATCGTCGATTCTCTCAGCCGATCCACGTCTAACCCTTTTCGCAAATGTGCCGGACACCTCGATATTTGCTAAGACTCCCTCATTCTCGCTGACGAAACATAACGAGAACATTCCGCGGCCGGCTGCACCAGATTCCCCGGTGCTCAAGATTGCTCAACGCCCTTTTGCAACAGTCATAAATACTGTCCCCTGAGGTGTTTCACTTGTTTTTCGACGCAAATGAACCATTTTTCCTTCACATTTTGGCTACCGTATGCGGTTACTATCTCATGTTCTCATGTAAACTCATGTACACTATCGTAACATAACGTTACTCATGTAAACTGAGTAAACTCTGCCTAGATCAAGTGAAGTCTGTCCCAAAGTGTAGTGCGAGTGAATTCTGTACCTGGTTTACACTCGCTAAAACAGGAACTGCTAACATTCTGCTTCTTCCCTGTCATTGCTATTTATTATAAGGTGTACCGGGACTGACAATTTTTTTGACGGGATTTTTCACATACGTAAGTTTGTAGATTACAGCTTTGTTGTTTTTCAGAACAAACGGAGGTGCTATTCCGGGTACTGAAGGAAATGAGAAGAGAGAAAAGTGGTTTCTTCAAGAGCCTGTATATTGTGTCTGATGCTCGATGTCCAGTAATACGTTTTCGATCCTATGACAGACATGTAAGTTTTCTTCGATTTGTGATTTTCTGTTATTTCAAGCAGTAATATCAAAGTAGTGGCAGAGGTGGTGTAGTGACGCGGACCGCTTACCGCGCGCGGAGAGGGGATCAAGTCGCAGATCAGCTCCTTCCCAGGGCTTACTAGTTCAATAAAGGATAAAGTCGGCAAAATGTTACCTGGAACAGTGGTCTTAGCGTACGGGCCTTGAAGGAATCAAAGATATGCTGCACGCTTACCCTCGAGGATCGTGACTCTTCCCATGTGCGGCATGAGCGGGTCCGCAGCTGTGAATATGTGCCACTGTCATCACTCAGTGGTGCGCTGAAATGGGACTGGAGGGTAGTG